GGCGGGGGAATGATCGCGCCACCGACAACCCGATGGGTGTGCCCGATGCCCTCGGTGACCAGGCCGGGATTTAGCAATGAGAGCTGGTCGACTGCAGAATTGAACCCGTCTTCCAGGGCACCGACTGCGTCCTCCTCGAGGTTCCGGATATGGGCAATAAACTCAGCCCGACTCTTCAAAGCCATTAGGTCCTCGGGCTCATCTTCGGCGGGTTGTTGAACAACATTCAGTTCCTCAACCTGCTTGCCCAGGCGTTCGACTTCAGCAGCCAAACGATCCCTGTCGGTCCGGAGCAACTCCCCTTCCTCGGTCAACCGCCCCGACTTCTCCTTTTCCAAGGTCAGCATCTCCCTCTCGGCGTCAAGTATCGCGGTCTGCTCTTGGAACATCCCCTCGGAGCGTTCCAGAGCGACCTTCAACTTCCTTGAGCTCGCAGTCAAGGCCGCCTTCTCCCGCTCGAGCTCTTCAACACGAGCAGCATCCCCTGCGTCTTCAGACAATACCAGAGCCATTTCAGCCATTTTAACCAGCCCGTCCACGCTGGCGACCAGCCGCGACTTCCTCTCCTCCTTAGTCATCCTCTTTATAGCCTCGACTTCATGAACGACCACGGTCGGAGGGAACCGCTCAAAAAAGCCCTCCTCCTCGAAGCAAGGGGGGAAGGCAAAGGATTGAACAGGACCGGTATCTTCCCCGACATTCGAACCGCCTTCCACGCGGGTCCTTTTCCTCTGGGTCAAAATGGCACTGGCATCAATCTCCTCGACATCCGGATCCGATGCTGCTCCCGAGCTCGACGTCGAATCCACCCTCACCGGCTGAGGAACGGTCGTGCTCGGCGGTGGTCCCATTCTCGTCAATTGCGGGGCAGGCACGACCTTTTTGTTTCGCCTCTGGCCGGTTGACAATTTCAGGAGCCTCTCATGTCGGCTGGCCATCGTACCTGCACGAAGTAAAAGAAAAGTCAGTATCGAGCAAAACGCGTAAATAAATGACGAGTAAAGAATTTCAAACAAACAACCTAACAGGCGGGCTGCCTGCCTGTATGTTGAACATTCCACCAACGCCTTGGTGTCGATCGGGCGAGCCTCGAATGTCGGGTAACCGTCCTTGTCGAGGATATCATTCCCTTCCCGCGTAACCCATTGGGCGGGATGAAAACTGTCGACAAAGTTACAGAGAGCCTCATACGCCCGCTGATCCTCCGTGCACATGTCCCCGACTGCGGTATGGAAATAGCCGGTTCCATGCTGGAAGTGTCGGGACATCCAGTACACCGGGAACTTAGCCCGACGTCCTAACACGGGGCTCCCGTCATCGGTCAACATTGCTTCCCCGTCATCATCGCTGACCGGCCCTTCCTCCTCGAAGAGGGAATCTACAGCAGAGTCGGTAGTAGGGTGTACCACATACCACTTGTCCTTGAACCCCCTCACAGAGTCCATGTACATCCTAAACAGTCTCCTCGACTGCTTCAGGGACACCCAGCTGTGCTTCCCTCCTCGGGACTGACGCTGTAGGTGGAAGACCCTAAAGAAAAGAGGGATGGTCGCCCCTATCCTTAAGTAGCGACACGTCAGCTCAAACGCCCGGATGAAGGCGAGAGAGTTAGGGTGTAGCTGGGACGGGGCCAGCTCCAAATGCGTAAAAACCCCGGTCTCAAAGTCTGTGAAAGGCAGCCGCAAACCCAAGTCTTTAAACGCGATCTCGTACATCGCAAAGCTGTAGTCCGGGTACATCGAACAAATTCTGGCGTTGGTCGACGGCAGCATGACCTCGAAATTCGGTTGAAAGTCGGGCTGGTCCTGCCCCTCTTCGATAGCGATGAACGGATGTCGGTCATCCCGACTGTATATCGACGCCGTCCCCCGAGGCTCGGCGCCCACCCATTCCAGCGATGGGTCGGTCACAGTGTCTATAAGGTTGGCCGACTCGTCGGCACTTTGTTCTTCGCTGTCACGACGACCGGAGGAGCTCGGCTCATCCGCCATGGTTACCTGCAGAGCACGAGAAACCAATCAGATTGAGCATGAAGCCCTATGCTCGACATAATCATGTCGTCCATACACTACCACAAGTCCATTTTCACAAGTGGATGCCTCCCCGACTCTCCTGAATCCAGTGTTCTTCCAGAAACCAACTGCGCGACCACTCTTCAAGCATGTCGATCCGGGGTATGAACATGGCGAGCCGCATTATGAAGCCCACGGCCACGACCATAAACATACCGGGCACCAGCATGAGTCAGGCGCCCAGGATCATGAAGACCCCGGGCAGCTCTGAAGTTTTTCACCTAAAACTATGAATATGTCGGCCACAAGTATACGTTTGCCGGTCCTAGACATGAATCTGTCGGGCAAAATACGAGTTTACCGGGCTAATCCCACATTAACGGTCCTAAAACATCTACAATTTCCTAGAATCATGCATTCTAAAACAGGGAAATAAAGAAAATGGATCACTTACTTGGGTCAAAGTTGGGATTTGGCTAAGAAATGAAGAATCTGAGACGGGAAGTCACGGTTGGAGAGAGTGTTGAGAGTTGCAACGAAGAGAGCACGGAGAACGGAAAACGTATTATGGGGCCCAAAGACCCTATTTATAGGGATGACGTGGAATACCAAACGTCACCTCGTTCAGCCACGGACTCCGTCTCCTCGACGCACTGCACCCAACGCAATGATGGCCCTACCCCCCTAGGGTGGCGGCACAACTCCCGAAAGATGCCTCGTGTGCTCGACTGAGGCGCCCGGTACGGATCCTCCACGCATCCGCCACCGACGACGTCTCCGAGCTCGTCACGAGGAGACCCCTCGAGGGTCCACGCCTCCATCCCGGGCACGAGACCTCAGCGACGGAACAACTGTTTCAAGTCATGGCTCCTCGCAAAGGAACCACGACTTGGGGGGCTCCTGTCCTGGACTGGGCCCGACAGGCCCAAAAGCATTACTAAGGCCCAGTCCAAAGGGACTCACTAAGGACCACACTGGGCACAGGGGGCCACGTCCATGCCCGACACCCTGATGTCCACCTCGACATCTCGGTGTCCAGCCCCACGATGAAGTCCTGCTCGACAGCATGCCATCCAGCCCTATGTCATGGCTTCCAGCTCGACACTCGCCGTCCAGCTCGAGGTCTGGGCGTCGGGCTCGGCACCGTGCTGCACAGCTCGACATGGTCTCGAGCTAACTTGCTAGGGCAGACTTAGTCCTCCATTACCCCAACGATACTCCGGAAAGACCGCGTCTCCGTCCGCCCGCATTTCATGCAGCATATCCAGGGAGGGGATCACGTGCTGGTCCCCACTACCCACGTAGAACCTGGCAGTTCCTCCATTGGGCCAAATCCGCCCGGCCCAATGAAGGAACCTTGGCCCAGCGCTGGGGGCTATAAATACCCTCTGCTTCCAGAGGGTCAGGTATTGATCATTCTAACCTCAACTCTATTATCTGCTAGTACTCCCACTGACTTAAGCATCGGAGTGCCTTGCAGGTACCCCCCCTCCTCGTTCAAAAAGCCTTCAGCTCGGAGCAGCCGTGACGGTCCAAACCTTCTGATCAGGTCAGATCATAACCCAACACTCATTCAACTTTTATCCTCTCCAATAGTTTTTCACTCAACACCCTACCCCACCACTTTTTATTTTCATATTCTTATTTAAATTTTATTTTTATTTTTATGATTACATAAAATTACAATTATCGATTAAAATTAAATTAAAATAATAAATACTTAATAATTTATTTTTTAATTTTTTGTAATAAAAACAAAATTTATTTAAATGGAAAAATGGAAAATTGATTAAATGGAAAATTAGCAGAATTTTGAGTGTTAAAATGATTATTGGGATCCATTTCACTAAAAAAAGACACTTAACTTCAAAATAAACACTAATAATAAAATTAAGATAGTGAAAAACTTAGCTTTTTTTTTGTGTCCAAATCAAATGAACCAAGTCTCTATTTATAAAGAAAAAAAAATCATGAATTTTGGTAAAAAAAAAAAAAAAAATTAATTTGCAACGAAATAATTGAGTTCAAAATATTAAATGGATAAAAATCTGGTCAGCCAACCAGCCGCTGCCACGTCAGCCCATGCGTCATTGTACATGGTGTTGAGTTTTCTCAACATCTCTCTCCTCCAACACACACTCAACACTACTCTAAACACACCATTGCACATGATTTTGCCATATTGAGTTCAATTAAACACACCATTGCACATGGTCTAATACTAAGCAATTGACCAATCTGACTAATTTGTCCTTTCAATTAAACATTTTTGCACTGCAAATTAGACATTAACGTAATTAACAAATTAAAAAAGGAACATTTTCTCATCTATTCATATTACAACTACCATGTGTTACGTTTTCATTGGTCCAAATTAAACAAACGTTTTACCTTTCATGTAATGCAGCGATGTCTTAATCTTTTAGACTTCATTTCTTCTCATACCTGCTCATTTTCTCCCCTACCGAAGTAACACCAAGCATCTTCTTTAGCTCACAACTTTCATCTTCATCTTCCTCGCAGGTATGTTAACTTTCTCAGCTCAATACTTTACAACATACTTCCTCTTTCTTCTATTACTTTTTTTTGTCATTCTTCCATTACTTCCTCTTTCATGAAAAGTTTTATTGAAAACAATTTTTTGAAAGCTCGTGAAGTTTTCGTTTTGCTTCAGTTTTCGTTAGTCCAAAATTAATCTTACACTTTCTATGTCATTTTTTCATTGGTCCAAAATGACAAACTCACTACTACAACACAACAACAAACTCACCTCTTGTCTTCTCTCTCTTTCCCCTCAAACCCTACCTCCGCCGCCGCTCCTTTCTCCTCCCTATCTTCAATAAAGAAATCAAAATTTCTTCTCACTCTCACAAGCATCTGAAATTTGTAAACAATCTTATGTATGCATTCTTCTTTTCTCTTACTATTTCGTTTCAATTTCTTTTGCAATATTTGTTGTTTGTGTTGTTGTGGCGGTGAACAAGAATAATGACAATGTTTTGGTTTTTCAGGTTTTGATTTCCACTGCTTCTTTCTTGCATAAGGTTTCAACTTTTCTTGCCTATTTTTCAATTTTATATATGCACACCATGTGTTTGATAAAATTCTACTGTGGATTTTCATCAACATCAGGATACTTGATGCTGACAATGAACTAATTAAGCTGAGTGCCAACTATTGTGGTACAAATAATGACCTATTTCACAGCCAACTATCTCGCAGACGCTTTCAAAACGTAGGTACTCTCTTTTTCATTCGTTATGTAGTTCCCAATTTCACAAATCTCATTTTTAGGTCTTTCTAGGTTTCGATGCATTAATGAATTGATGCATTGTCAATTGTTAATTAGTTTATTTTTAATGTGATATTAGGTTGTTTAATTGACTTTGATGCACAAAAACTGATATTATAATGCAGTTAATTTTTTTTGCTTCCTTTTTTCCCATCTTAAAATGCGGATGATGCTGATTGGGAAAAGTTAGGAGTGAAAGAGGTTAGTGGTTTTTGATATCGTTCTCTGTCTATGTTTTTGTTGATCAGGTCAGATACTGCATTGATATTACTTTGAAGGTCTTAGAAATAGCTTATGCACTCGGGCTTAATGTTTCTGTCGTTGTTGCTCATGAAGTGTCTGTTACAAATTTCGGTATTTAGATTGGGAGATTTTCTTATTATTCTCCATGCAAAGTTCAACTACTTATATCCATATGCCATATTTCAGTTTCAGGAGTTTCACCTACAAAAATATATATCACAGAGGGTGTAAGAATCTACTTTTACAAAATTTATGTATTATGTCATCTTACATTGCAGTTACTGAGCTACTTGTCTAAAATTCCAACCGTACGTCTTATTGTGGTATGTCTGGATTTGTGGCTTATATTTGTAATTAAATATTGTTTCACAAAGTAAGTCCATAATGATTTTTTGTTTGTATTCAGGTAGTTGGAGATATAGATGATTAAATTCCATCACTTCCATCAACAGATGGAGTTCAAATTATTTCATATACAAAGCTTATTAGTCAGGTAATCTAAATGTCTCAGTCAAAGAATGTTACGTTGTGTGTTCATATCTGATTATGTTCAATTATATAGTATTAAATTTACTTGCTTCCTTGGATTATAGGAAGTGTTACTTTGGTAGGGCTCTTGTATCTAGTCTATCTGTTGCGATCTATCAGTATTAGGTTTCATTTTTATAAATGGTGTTGCAAATTGGAAATTGATTTGATCTGTTTCTATTTGATAAATTTGTCACCTCATTGTTTGTGTGATTTGGATATAGGGGCGCATCAATCTTCATTCCTTTCACCCTCCAAGGCCTGATGATATTGCAACCATTTGCTATACGAGTGGCACGACTAGAACTTCAAAGGTAGGGGTTCCTATAAAATTACAATTTACTTTTCTCGGTGGTATATTATTCCACTAAAATAGTTTCTTTGCTTAATAGTAGTCATATAAAGCATTTCTTATTCATATTGCAACTCAAAATATTCTGGTCAGGGTGCAGTTTTGTCCATCAAAACTTTATTGCAAATGTTGCTGGGACCTCTTTGAGTGAAAAAATTCAACCCAAATGATGTGTAAGATCTTTTTTGCTGTACACAATTAATTCTGCCATTTTTGTTCATGATAGTTTATTCTACTATCTTTACCTTAGTTTCCTTTGATTTTCAGTAATATATCTTATCTCCCTTTGGCACACATTTATGAGCGAGCAAATCGAGTCATAACAGTATATTTTGACATTGCGGTGGGATTCTTCCGGGGTTGTGTCTTAAACAAATTAAGCTTATCTCTTCCTTTCATTTGTGAAATATATATATTAATTCTGAATGATTTATCTCCTATCTAAGATTTCTAAATGATAGCTACCTTTTTTATGTTGACTTGCGAAGCCAAGGTACTACCTTATGGCTTAGACTTCCTGCAGAATGATTTATATGAAAATATAGCAAATATATTTTGGAATAAAATATAAGGAAAATTACACCTTTTGGCCAATTTAATGATATATCTAAAAAATGTCTCTGATTTAATTTAACTTTTTTTCAATGAACTGATTTATTACTACTATCTTGAAGGGTAATTCAGGTAATGAAATTGATTTTTAAATGAGATTATGTGATTAATCCTTAATATACGTGGTGTAGTTAACTTTTGCTTATAAATCATACTGGATTAAGTATGATGCGGTGGGGTTGATTTTGTCACTGGATTTTGCTTCACTATAAACTGACATTTTCTTCCTACCTGTTGCATACAGAATAATCTGAAATTAATAGAAGACCTTGCAGTTCTAAGACCTACTATCTTCTGCAGTGTTTCGCGTCTATATAACAGAATATATGCTGGGTAGAGCAATCATACATTTGTGCAGCAACTTTTAGAAATGTTCTTTTGCCTTTGTTTATTCATTGTGCTATTTGATTTTTTTCGTCTGCGTCGTTATTAATGTTGTTAAAACATCTAGTGGTCTAAAGGAGAGATTATTCAATGTTGTCTACAATGCTAAAAGACAGACATTATTGCACAATATATATTTGCACAATTATCTTGCTTGATTTATTCATTATATTACATAACTGTTACTGTTCTCTGTTGTTCTCTAAACATTGATCCTCTAATGATATTTGTCTCGAAGAAATTCTCTTACCAAAAATTCATTTGTGACAGTTACAAATTCCCTATTTATTTGAGTTAAGATGGCCAAATCACTTTTATATGACTTTATTTCATATAGAGGATGAATGACGGTGGTTGAATCCCCTTTTTAGTAACAGTACTACAATATCATTTTCGTTTTCCAAAGCTTGTGTTTTATTTTATGTTCTAAATAGCTTGACGTTTATACTCTTTGGGTGACACACATGGCAAAAATAATAATTAACATCTGGTTTGAGCTTCACAAAAATGTACTTAAATATTGAAATAAGTTGCTGCTGAACTTGTGTTGTAGTTGGAAAGTATTTTTTTTAAAATTATTTAATACACTTAAATCTATTGGATTACTGTTCAATTAACAATTAAGTAAATTATTTTATATTGCATTTATCTTTAAAATTTTATATTTGCATTTGTTAAAATTTTATTTTATTTTCTCCAACTCATATGCCCTTTTTTAAATTATTTTATTTTAATACATTGAGTTTTAATGAGCATCTACTATCAACAAGTTATTATTCACTTGACCAAACTACCTATTATATACAAAATTAGCACATGAATATGATAATAAAATGTTAAGTCTTACGGGTCACTTTCAACACAATATCTATTTTTACATGTGTGAGAGCGCAAATATCTTAGTAAATATTATCTTTAAAGAGAGATTAGTGTGTTATTTGATATATTGTTTTAAATTAGAGCATCACCTTTTCACTTTAAATTATTATAACAAAACAAAAAGTCGAAAATGCGTTAAAGTAAAATATATCAAATTTTCAAGACCACGTTAACTATAAAGGAGCTTGGATGGAAGTTACACAACAATCCACGTGAACTATGGTGCAAAGTGTTGAAAGGAAAGTACAACTACATCAATTCGTAAGATCACATTAACTATAAAGAAGCTGATTCTAGTTTATGAAAATAAATAAAAATGGAACAACATTTGTCGTTGTCGTAGTTGGAGTATTGGTGATGGAAGAGATGTAGATGTTTGGAAGGATAGTTGGTTGGAGTCGGGTTATGTATCGAGGACCAAGTTTTATAGATGTATGACTATTTACTTGGAGTTAAACTTTGCAACCTTGTTGAAAACAATGATGACTGGAAGTGGTAAGATTTCCAAGGTTGCCTACCACAGGATTTGCAGTGAAAAAATCTCTACTTGTATTCCTCGCACCCAGAGTACGAAAACGATGGATTTGTCACAATTAGTACATGTGCAAGTGAATTCTCTATTAAGGCTATGTATAACAAGTAGGTTAGTTCTCTAACAGAGGGAGGAAGATGTGAGATTGATTGGAAGAAAATTTGGAGACTTAATGTGTCGAAGAAAGTTTGTTACTTCGTTTGGATGTTGGCTCATGATAGATTGCTTACAAATTATAACAAAAGCATAATGGGGATGGATAAGCCAAGCTATGTGCAAGTTATGTAGGAGAAGGATGGAAACTACTATGCATGCTTTTAGAAATTGCCCTAATTTCAAACAAGTTTGGGCATATAAGGTTCCCAATAATATTTTACGTACATGCTTTCTTATAGGCAAATCTCACATAATGGGTAATCTTGAATCTTGGATCCAATTGTAACGGTGCTATTGCTTATGGATGTGGATGAATAAAGAGGAACATGATGAAGACTTTAATCGTCCTTTCAACTCGAGACAACATGTGGCGCAAATGGTGAAGAATTATGAAAGTGCAAATATTCAAAATGGTGGTGTGTGCAAGGGTGATAAATCGGTGGAGATGATCGGTCAACGAGAAGAGTGAAATCACTTTCCGATATGGTTAAGGAAAGACTCTCCTACTGGTCTTCTCCTGCACCCTAGTTGGATTGGCCTTGTATGATATTTGAGCCAAGTGCAGACCCAGTTCAGAACAGGAGCCCTCCAAGTCGTTGCTCCTAAGGAGATGAGCTATGACTTAAGACCATTTCCCATATGGTGAGCATAGTTTCATCGGGATCCCCTATCACGTCGAGGGACGGGGTCAATTTTATACGCGGCTACTCGAGTAGAGATTGGAGTGTGTTCGCGGATAAAATTTATCTGCTCCTCGACTCGCGAGGAGACGAAAGTTTGCATGATGTTCACTTAGTAAGCCACGTGATGTAGCTTTTGGGATATAATGTTGGCCTAGGGAGTAGGGGTCATTATGACCCTGAACGCGTGGGCGGTGGAGAGACGAATAGTTGATACGCTGTTCGACGCGATGTTTCGTCTTCCGCGCCAACCTTGTAAATAGCGCCTAAGGGCTCATTTGTAACGTTTCCAAGTTCTCGTTCTATCCTTTCTCCCTAATGTCCACAGTTTTCTATCGCTCTCAGTTTCCTTCTCCAACCGTGAGCGTCACCGTAGCTTCCACCGCAGAATCTCTACCAACCCTAATCAAGTAAGTGTTTTTCAGTGATTACTCTTATTTATAGCTGGGTTTTTGACAAATTTCATGGATTTCCTGATGAATTTCACTACTCAGGGGATTTTTACTCAGGATATTCATACCTCTCTTCGTGATACTCACGAAATGCCTTGTGAAACTCATCGGCTCCCCGCAGAACTCATGAAATTGCTCGGGGAATTCATCCCCTCCTCACAATGTTCATGGGATTGCTCGGGAGATTCATCTTATCCTCGTCACCTTCACGATGTTGCTCGAGAGATTCAGATTCTCATCATGGCGTTCATGAGGTTGATCGAGAGAGATATATTCTCCTCGTGGCGTTCACGAGTTTGTTTGGTTTTACTGAATGAGGATTCATCGACCTGGTTTGGTTGTAGAAACCCCCTTTCACTTGTGTTACGGTGGAAGGGTGGACTTGATTTATCTGTTGAATTCACTGGTTTCCTCTGCTTTATAGGTGAAATGGCTGAACTAGCCGAGACAACCGAGCAGGTTGAGATAGAAGAAACAAATGTAGTCGACAAGGGTGTCCACTTGGTCGACACCGTCATTGATCCGTCATTATCCTGGGTCAGGCAGAGCCTCGAGGAATAGCCTCGGTCTATAGAAATACAAGAGGGGAGGCGTACATTATCTTTGAATATGGTGGCGACCAAGAGGGTTTCACGAGAAATTTCATGATCTTTCGCCTGACACCTACGGCCAGAATATGCTCGTCTTTCCAGGAAGATTGCTTCCCTATGTATGAGATTATCTTAAGGGATCTGGGGCTTCGTATTCCCTTCAATGAATTTCAAATGGTAATATTTAATCATTTGTCCTTGGCGCCCTCCCAATTGCACCCCAACGCGATCGCTTTTATACAGCCTTCGAGATTACTTACTGATA